TGCCAACCTAGCAGTTTGAAAGCACATAAAAATGCAAGTAGAAAAATAGGAACCACCTTTGGTGGGAAGGTAACAGCATTCCATGCACCTTCGGCTTTTAGACATGCCAGCCACATGACCAGAGAGATGTCTTTAGACTGCACTGGCTCTTTGGCTTTTAAATGGAGATGAGCCCGCTAGAGTCGAGAATGACTAGCACATATGTGCGAGGAGAACCTTTACCTTTTAGAATAGAATAGAACTCGATCTTGGAGGTCTTCTAGTCCAGCCCCTTGCTCAAGTGCTCTCAGACAAGTGTCTGCCCAGTCTCTTCTTAAAAAGCTGCAGTGATGGAGCGGCCACGATTTCTGAAGGGAAGCTGTTTCACTGGTTAACTGTCCTTACTGTTAGGAAATTTCTCCTTATTTCCAGGTTGTTTCTCTCTTTGATCAGTTTCTTAACTTTTTCAGTTAAGATGCTAGACTTGTTGACTGAAAGGTTCAAAACCCAAGTACCATGTGACAGGGTGAGCTCCCATTCCCACCTCAGCCCCTGCCCACCTAGCAGCTCAAAATCTTGCAAATGCAAGTAGATAAATAGGTACCACTTTGGTGGGAAGATAACAGTGTTCTGTGCACTTTAGCATATAGTCACGTCAGCCATGTGACCATGGAAGCATGTTTGGACAGTGCTGGCTCCCTCAGCTAGGAAATTGAGATTAGCACCTAGGTTCAGATGTGATTGGACAGGGGAAATCTTTATCCTTTTAACCTGTATTACAATTTCTGGGAATTTGTCTTTAATTTATTTGAAGACTCCTCATTATCCAGAGTCGCTTGCTGAGCTAAGCAGCCCTACGAATTGAATGAATATGGATGAATAAATGCATGTGTAACTAGTTAAAAAGGAAGCAGGGAAGGGAGTAGGATGGAAGAGAATGTCAACTCTACTGCTTCCAAGAGAAGTTGATTACACAGGATGTCCAGGAGCTTCTTGGAAGCTAGGTACCCAAAAGCTATGCTTTGCTTGCTTTCACTCACTCACCGTAGCTCTTTCCATTTCATGTTCCAGAAATTCTTACAAGTTGCATTCCAGGAAGGGCTACGTTGCTCTTCCTTCCCTTGTGTGTTCCTTACTGTGCAAAGATTTGGCGTTCTCTTGAGTATTTTCCCCTTCAAGGCAGTTTATAATAGCAAAGCAAATTAAGACACAATGGGTAAGCCAGCAATTTAATTTCACAATATTTTGCAGCAAAGAGTCAGAGCAAATATTAAGGTAAGGGTAAAGGTTCCCCTCGCACATATGTGCTAGTCGTTCCTGACTCTAGGGGGCATTGCTCATCTCTGTTTCAGAGCCAGCGCTGTCCGAAGATGTCTCCATGGTCATGTGGCCGGCATGACTAAACCCCAAAGGTGCACAGAACGCTGTTATCTTCCCACCAAAGTGGTCCCTATTTTTCTACTTGTATTTTTACATGCTTTCGAACTACTAGGTTGGCAGAAGCTGGGACAAGTAACGGGAGCTCACTCTGTTATGTGGCACTAGGAATTCGAACCGCTGAACTGCCGACCTTTCTGATCGCCAAGCTCAGTGTCTTAGCCAACGGAGCCCTACAGCAAATATTAGCTGTCCCTTAAATATTAGCACCTTGTCAGGTGAAGATGATGTTTTTACAGCATGTGTTGTGTTTCTGTTTTCGTGACGAGCATTCAAATATTTGCATCCTAGAGAGCTGAGCTATACTTTTTAAAATGCATAAATGTTCATTCTTGATTTAGGGAGGATCTGCAATCCTTGGACTAGCCAGTCCAATGCCTTTTTTGGAAGAATCAGTTCCCCTTCTTCTGCCTGGACTCCTATAGATTTGGTTATGGCTTTAAATGCCATAGAAAATGCAAAACTAAGGATTTTCTGAAAATTGGTTTGGTTTTAATTACAGTTTTCAGGGTTGCTGGCTGTAAAAAAGTGGAATTGTAGATGCATGGCCAAAATGTATTGGTCCTTTGGCATTGTGATCTCAGAATGGGAACAGGATCTCGAATTTGCTAGGAACTGAACTGAAAAAGAAATAAATCCAGTCTGGCGCAAAGGAGCTGCACATTGTTACCCGTTCCGTTCAGCTGAACCATATGATTTTGATTCTTTATATGGCAGACAAATGGGAGGTTATTTGAGTACCCATTAGATTATACGAGCTCCAATAGGTTTGGCAAAATCTGTGTGCCGAGAGAGAGAGAGACAGAGAGTGTACTAGAAAGAGAACTTTCAAAAGAAGCTTGAGATTAAAACAATTTATGTAATAATATTTTTTTAAAGAATCTCTAGCACATGCAGCAGACTTTATGGAGACCAGATGTTTAAACATTATAGTTGCCAGCTGAGATGATGGAAGAAGGGGAGGCTGGGAGGAACCGTCCATCATAGTAGTCATTTTTCCTCTATACCAGAGGTCTCCAAACTTGGCAACTTGTGGACTTCAACTCCCAGAATTCCCCAGTCAGTTATGGGAAATCTGCTGGCTTCCCACAAGCAAAGTCAACGGGGAAGCCAGCAGGAAGTCAAAAGTTTCAGGTTATGAAAGATCCTCATTTAAATAACTTGCTCAATCCTTACTTAAGAGTGTCAAGCAGGGCATCCGGGATGATCATCGCTAAGTGGCACAGTCATATGGTTTTTCAGTTTACACCCACATTGCTTAATGATGGAGTTTCCAGTCCCAGTTAGCATTGTTAAACAAAGACTGCCTTTAGTAAAATTCCATGGTGGCTATTTTTAGGATTTTTTTTTTTCTTCACACTTCTGCAAACATCCATATGAACTTCCTGAAAGCAGGTGGAGAACTAATGACATTTTTGAAGTACAGTGTGATCCAGCTTCCATGAGGAAAATGGATACTCCATGAAGATGGTCATTTTTAAGACTGTGGCCAGATCCTAGAGCCTTGATGGTAAACCTAGATCAGTGATGGCAAACCTTTCCAGCACTGAGTGCCCAAACCAGAACGTGCGTGCATGGATATGCATGTGTGTTCACCGGAGCACCAGAAACCCAAACACTAGCTGGCCAACATGTGCATGTCTGTTTTTTGGGCAGTTTGGGCCATTTTTAGGCCATTTTCAAGCCATTTTCAGGGCCATTTTTGGCCTAAAAAATGGCCTGGAAAATGGCCCCCAAAACAGCTGTTTTTCAGGTGGTTTTCTAGTGCTCCAGCACCCATGAAGACCAGCTGGTCGGTGTGCATGTGTGTGCCAAAAACCAGAAGAGCAGCTGGCCATAATGTGCCTGCCCACAGAGAGGACTCTACATGCCACCTCTGGCACACATACCATAGGTTCTCCATCATGGACCTAGATGGTATCCTACAGGACAAATAACTTTGGAGAATGAATTGGGGCAATGATTGAATTCTTGTCCCTAACACCAAGAGGCAGTTTGGTGTAGTGCTTAAAGCACTGGATTAGAAAATGGGAGACTGTCAGTTCTATCCTTCCTTAAATGGAAAAAAAACCAGCTGGAGGAGTTGGGCCACCTTGATTCAGTATCTCTTTAACATTATATCTAAAAATATTTTTTTAAATGTAGGGTTGGCCATGGATATCTCTTTGCCTTCTCTGGTTGAAGAGGAATTCTTAGCTCCTCCTTCTATCTTCTATCTCTATCTTCTTCTTCTTTCTTTCTTCTATATATATATAAATGGCTGTGTGTGTGTGTGTGTGTGTGTGTGTGTGTGTGTGTGTGTGTGTGTTCCAACATAACTCTGGAATGCCTTGAGCAACTTCAACCAAACTTGGTACACAGAGGACTTACTCTCTGGAAACAAATACTGTGGGGGTAAGACACCCCTAACCCCATTCTGGTGTGTGTGTGTTCTGTTAAGATACAGCCTGTTGTGCCTTAATTTGGCTTCTACCATACTGCCGTAAAATGGATTCTACTGTACAGTGCAGTGGAGTTGCCATGGTAATGGCACAGTACTCCACAAGGGGGGCTCCCTCTGGCAAGGGGGAAAATCCAACATTTGAAATTATGTTTGGTCTGGACATTTCCCCCCTATAAATAAATATCCAGGCAATGCCGGGTTATTGGCTAGTTGTTCATAAAACATTGAATTTCTTTTTTTGTGTCAGTTGAAGCATTTCTTTGAAGTCCTTCTTTAAAGACACTTTTTACTGCTTTAATATGGGGGGGGGGGAATGTAAATATACAAAAGCACATCAAGTTCCAAAGAGAAAATCCTCCAGATCAGTGTTTCTCAACCTTGGCAACTTGAAGATGTCCGGACTTCAACTCCCAGAATTCGCTGGCTGGGGAATTCTGGGA